GCTGAGAAATTCACAGTTTGTCAAGTCGTGGTTCCTTTCACATAACAGTTATTTCCTCAGCCTTTTTTCTCTTATATTTTACTATAAACAGCAAGAAGAAACTGGGCCACACCTTTAATACTTTGCTTGGAAATCTCCTCAGCTGAATAATCAAGTTCATTGCTTAGAAGTTCTATTTTCCAAATAACATAAGGCACAATTCAGCAAAGCTTCTTGCAACAATATAATAGCAAGGATCTCCTTTCTTCCAGTTTACAGTAGCATGTTCACCATTTCCTTCTGAGCCCTCATCAGTAGTACCTTTAACATTCATATTTCTATCAACAGTCTGTTTATGAAAATTTAGCTATTGTCTAAGGCAATATAGGTTTTCTCTACTATACTCCACACTTCATTCTGAGCCCTCAACAGCAAAACTTTTAATGCCCATATTTCTACTAATGATCTGTTCAAGGCAATTTAGGCTTTTCCTACGCACCCCTCAAAATTTTTCTAGCCTCTGCCAGTTACCCAGTTCCAAAGCCACTTCCATACTTTCAGATATTTTTATAGCAGCTTCACACATTTGGTACCAAAATATGTATTAGTTTCTCATTGTCATTATAAAAAATTACCACAGGCTTAGCGGCTTAAAGCAAAACAAAATCATTCTCTTAGTTGTAGAGGTCAGAAATCTAAAGCCAGGGTGTCAGTACTTCCATGTTACCCCTTTCTCCTTGTCTTTTTCAGCTTCTACAGGAGGCCCACATTCCTTGTCTCACAGCCCCTTTCTTGCTTCATTCCAACCTCTTACTTCCATCCTCACATCTCCTTCTAATAACTATGATCTTCCTGCCTTCCTTTATAGAAACCCTTGGGATTACCTGGAGACTCCAGAATAATCTCCCAATCTCAAGATCCTTAATTGAGTCATGTCTGTAAAGCCCTTTTAACATGGAAGGTGACATATACATAGGTACCAGGAGTTAGCATATAGATATCTTTTGGGGGATATTAGTCTGCCTATCACAGACAATAACCTATAAACCCACAAGATTAAAAGAGCAGGAGAGAAGACAACAGATGAGAGATTTTATTTTATTTTTCCAAAACAGGGTCATGATAGTTTACTTACAAAAGAAGAAGAAGCTAGAACCTGAGCACCAAAAGAGAGGAATACTGATAAGAAAGAACCAATTCACCCTGAAAGACCCCTGTGGGCCTCTATGCTTAGGAATAAAGTTATTAGGTAAAATAGAAAGTGGAGACAAACTGCATGGATAATATAAGGAATTAGTTTCTCTCTTAACATGTCAGTTAGAAGACCCCCAACTCCTGAGAGGAATTGAATCTGACAGTCTATCTACTTGGGGATGCCAAATGCAACAGAAAACTTGGATGAGAGACAGACTTAAAGGGGAATTAAGCAAAAGTTAAATAATTCAACTCTTGGTGTCATCCTCTACCTAGCTCCCATAATACAGGCAGTCAGGCATAGACATGCTCAATCAGGAAATTGAAGAATTCTTCTCTAGAGACACTGAACAGCCAGCAAGAAGATTTCCAGATACTAAATATTTTCAACCTTGTATTTTATACCAACCCAACTATCAGTCAAGGGAAAGACAGAATAAACATTTTTAGACATGGTAGGACTCAATAATTTACACACTGTGTTCTCTAACTAAAAAAGTTACTGGCGAATGTACTTTAAAAAACAAAGGAGTAAATCGAGAGAGGAAGACATGGGACCAAGGTATAGTAGGCACAACTCTGGGGAATGGCGAGGGGAAGTCACAGAATAACAGCTAGGAAGGAGGCCTAGAGAACAACCAGTCTCTGTCACAAACAAAGGAAATTGATGCCTCTTAGAGGATGATCTCTAAGTTAAAAAAAAAAAAAAAAATTGGATTGGTTACATGATGTTTTGGAACATATGGGAAAATTACTAGTAATTGTTTTACACTTAACGTTGGAGCATTTGGAGAAAAATGTAGCAAGTGGCACTTAAAAACCAATAATATATAGGAGAAAGAGAAAAAGGAGGTGAAGAATATTAACTCCAGTACAAATGAAATGCATGAAGACAAAGTAAATGCAGTCATAGTTCAAAATATGGCTCAGCAATAAAAAATATATACATAGCCATTGATACAAATGTCAAATACTGATTTGACAACAAAAAACTCTGCAATATAACCGCATGGGGAAACTACCTTGGAAAATAGGGGGAGGGCTGTAATATAAGAAGCTAAGATTTTAACTACCATAATGTATTTTCAATAGTCAACAGAAAATGCCTGAAACTGATTAATTCAATAGATTTTTGTTATTTACAAATATGGCAATTAATACCAGTTGAAACAGCTACAATAATTGAAGTGATTGCCTATTAAGAGCTGAATTAAGGTATAGAAAAGGGTGGGACAAAAAATACAGATTCTTATTAGCATCCTTTTTGTATTTTATTTTTGAAGACTGTATGCATATATAACTGGTAAAATATAAATCAATTCACATTTTTAAATAACATTTGTAATTCAAACAATACAGGGCTATATAATGTGACACTCTTCCGCCCCAGATACCCTCCAATTTTAATTGGCCAGAATACACCATCATATCACTAGATCCTAGCATAATTTATCACTCACATTATTTTTTAAACAATCTATAGGGAGTGTGTTAAATACATAGTTTGCTACTATATACCAGGCTCTGTTCTGAGTGCTTCCACATGTATTAGCCCATTCATTTTCATCACAATCCTAGAGGTAGTTACATACAGTATATCACTTTATTAGCAAGTAAAACAATTTAAGTAATATTATTCTCACATTAAAAATTTGGGAACAGATTCTTCAGTACCCCAAATGATGTAGCTGTTAAACAACTTAGGGAATGAATCCCAAGTTTTATTAACTACAATACGCAAAGTTTGAGGAAAGTGATAACACAGCAGGTCTCGCTGTTCAGTCCTTGCGTGTCTTCAAGGAAACCTGAAACCATGATTGACCTTTGGGCAAACCCTGGGAACGTGGCCCTCGGAGTGCTCTTATGTTAAAGGTTGATGAGTATGTTTTGTACAAGTGGAGCAATGGACCACGCCATATCAGCTTGTCAGGATGGCTTTGCACAAACATCGACATAGATGACGTGCACCTTATTTCATTGTTTGTATCCTGCTGGTCAGGTAGCATGATGTTTTTATGTGACCGGTTCTCAATGAAAGCCTCACACTTGGAGGCTTGAACACTCTTCCCTGGACAGAGACATTCTGCACATGTCTGGATGGTTTGCTGCTAGAGAGAAAGCACATCTTGTGCGGTCCCACATAGGGAAGTACTCAAAAACTTGTGCTTGACCTCTCTTGGTTTCTCCTGATCCATATGTTGTTGTCTGTTGCTGTTGGTCTATATCATTTTGCTGTAATAAACCTTAGCCATGAGTATAAACTGTCATTAAGTCTTGTGAATCCTTTTAGTGAATCAGCAAACTTGAACATGACCTTAGAACCCAGTACATAAAAAAAAAGGAGGGGGGACTAGTACAGTGCCTGACAAATAGTACACATTCAATATATGCTGTCTATTGGCAGTTCACTTATGCATGATTGATGTGCATGGGACAAACTGCACTCTACTAGATGATAGGCTGGCAACTCAGAACTTGGCCTGCTTTTCTCAGCCATGCCCTTGGGAGAAGGCACGGATAACATTTCATCAATGGGGAAGTTAGAGGATATAACTCCAAGGTTCTCCCCAGGCCTCTCACCCCTGCTGATTCAGAGTGGGGAGAAACCATGTTGGAAAATGTCTAGATGAGCAGACCTCCAACTGGAACCTTCCGAGAGTGCACGCCAGGGCAGACTCTTATCCTTTTGAAGGGAACAAAAAGAACAAAAAGCCTTGTTTAGAGTTATGAAGATTAGAGCCCTTAGACCAATATCATGGAGCTGCAGGTGTGGTGCTGCCAGCTGGATCCTCACTTTAGGTAGCAGCCACCAGAGGCAGTGGTGTTGGAAGTGGTTATCGGGAATAACCACTTCTCAGGGTGGTTATCGGGAATAACCCCAACTCAGCCAGAAGCAAACACACGAAGTAGTAGTTCGTTTGGACTGCTATAACAACCACCGTAAACAGGGTGGCTTATAAACAACAGGAATTTATTTCTCACATAAAATGGGGGAGTCCGAATCCAGGATCAAGGTATCATTAGACTCAGTGTCTGAGGAAGGCCGGCTCTGTGGTTCATTGACGAAGTCTTTTCACAGTGTCCTCACGTGGTGGAAGGGTTGAACTCTGGTCCCTTCAGCCCTTTATAAGGAGACTAATCCCATTCAGGAGGTCTCCACTCTCATGACCTAATTAACTTCCAAATACCCCACCTCCTAATACCACCATGTAGGGAGTTAGGTTTCAACGCATGGATTTTGGGGGAACACAAATCTTCAGTCCATAGCACAGAGCCATTTCCAACAAGAACTGAACATGCAGAAAAAGAGACAGTCTTAAACTGTGAGGACTGCACATAAACATTAAAAAATAAACTTAATTGGTTGGGACTTCAGCTGAGAGCTAATCCAAGGGAAGGAGGAGTTGAGCATACAGATTTTGCAATTCTTTTCCAGGTTTGTGTGAGTGTATGTTTATGGTTCCAATCTGAGTGACCAGATCTAAGTAAGATACAGGAAAAGAGCCTTGTGCCTCTAAAATTCAATGATAATTACAATACTAATTTGTTACATCGTGTATTTAATTGCTATTTTTTAAATAAATTGCATCCAAGAAAGATAGAATCTCAATAGTGATCTTGGGGCTGGCCCGTTATCTCAGCCTTATAACACCAAGGTCATGGGTTTGGATCCCAGTACTGGCCAGCCAAAAATAACAAACAAGAAAACCTAAAATCAATAGCGATCACAGTAAATTTTCCCTCTATTAGCATCTTAATGTATGGTGAGCATAAAATAGTCCGTATAATTTGCTTTTTCACAGTTGCATTTTATTTTTGTTGAGCTCTTAATTATTTGGGGCCCCTTCAAGGATGACGTCAGTGTTCCTTATGTTGCAAATAATGGTTAACTTCGTATCACTGTCATCATTACTGGCATATGCCATAACATTGTCACTCACATTGTTACTGTATGCAGTGTCCCTGGAATCTAACTTATGACAGGACCTACAGAAAGACTTCACTTCACTTGAAACTGGCAGATTTCGAGCTGTTTTCTTCTTTGCCTCAGAAATATCATGGACCAAAGGCACAGAAAAAGTTTTGCAAAAACGGCATCTTTCCTCATAGTATTGACAACTCTTGGTTAATTCATCAGGGCTGGATAACATGACTGCCCTGCCTATACTCACTGACCTTTTTAGATTATGTTGTTTGGGAGGTTTGGCCAATTTCTGTAGATGGGACGGCTTGGGTGGCAAGATTTGATTTTGTGGGCAGGGTGGGCAAAGTGGCTTGGATGGTCTGGCCGGATATTGATGACTGGCTGACCAAAGTGGCCTGACTGGCTGAACTGGATAGGATGAACTGACTAGACTGACTGGCTTATGGGCACGAGCTAACTTATATGGCTTTTTTAGACCATGTGGTCTACATGGCTTTTCCAGCTGAGATGACCTGAATAATTGTTTTGAGTTTGATGGCCTTATTGACTTTTCTGCACTAGACGGTATGGGTGACTTTTCTGGACTCGAGGGTCCGGATAACTTGTCTATAGTGGACAGCATGGGTTGTTTCTCTGGACCGCACCAACCGCCTGTCTTGGATTCACTGACTGGCATATTAGATGTCTCCGCTGCTGTATTTTTTTTCTTCATCCTGCAAATATAGAAAATTTGGAGTATAACAATTTAAAACAAAATAGTTCTATTACTATCATCAGAAAACACAGGGTTCTGTATCCCTTTAGACCTTTGGTCTTTTTTAGCTCTCTCTGGTTGGAAAAACTGAGCAAAATGAGAATTGGAATGCAGCAAAAGCCATGACTCAGGTTACAGATATGAACTCATGTTGAATGTTTTTTCTTGAGAGTATTTTACTATTTCAACCATATTAGATAACCATATAGTCTACATGTGGAATGACACAAAGTTGTTGCAAATCTACTGCTGAGCGATACAGAGAGAGAATCTCACTTATTCCAGAAATTACACTTTTTATAAAAAATGTCACAAACTCATAACAAAGAAAAATCACAATAAAACATTGAACTTTCAGAAGGAGAGAAGAGACCTGTAGTTACTAGAAATGGGAAAGGGGGAGAGGGAAGGGGGTAGGGAGTCACTGGGTAAGGGACACAAAGAGGAATTATGATTTGTAATGATGAACATGCTAATAATACTGATTTGATCATCATATATTGTACACAAATACTGATAGTCAACTCTGTACCCCATAAATATGTATAATAAAAAAAAACTGATAACGTCACAAGAAAAAAAGCCTCTTTAGAACAAAGTCATTGTTTTCCTTTATATTTACAACATCAAGTTATTTATCTGTGCATGTTTATATTCATAATATTCCTCTAAAACTAAAGAGATAGAGCACTGGTGCCACATTTTAGTCACCAGTCTTTTGACTGGTAAATTTTTAGGAAACCTGTATGTCAGGGTCAGCCTGATCCTCCTTTACGAAAGACAGGGACTGTGATCATGAGAGTAACAACAGTGAATAGTTTTTTATGCTATTAAATCTTTTTTAAATCTTTTTTTTCATTTTCTTCCTGCAGTGTCTATATATTTTTTATTAATATTATTTTTTTTACATTCTACGATATTCTTGCAGAGCAGTTGGGAGGAAGAGGGAGAGGGGAACGGGGAAGGAAATGTGATGGAAGAAGGAGGTGGGGTGGGATTGAGGACTGTGGCACCCCCAACATTCCCACGTGGGAGACTTCGGGGCTTCAAGTGGTGGCTTGGTCATTGCTGGACTCGGTGCAGATGGCAAGGGGATGTGGCAAAAGCCCTCGCCCCCACCACCCCAGGTCAGGAACCTGGGGCCCTTCTTGCTGTGTGGCTTGGTGGTCATTGCAGGGCTGGTTGCATATGTCAGGAGGGCATGGCTGAGGCCCTCGGCTCCCCACTGCCCTGGCTTGGGAGAGTCCAGGACACTTACTGTGGTAGCTTGGTGGTCATCGCTGGGCGGTTGCTTGTGTCGGGGGGTGTGACGGAGGCCCTTGGCCCCCCACCACCCCAGCTCAAGAGAACCTGGGGTGGTTCCTGTGGTGACTCAGTGTTCATCACTGGGGAGGTTGCACTTGTTGGGGAGATGTAGCCTAGGTCCTCATCCCCCATCCTCAGGACTGGTTGCAGGTGTCAGGGGCATGGCTGAGGCCCCCGGCCCTCCCTCCTTTCTGGCTTGATAGCCCGGGGGACTTCCGGTCCTTTTAGGAGTCATAGGTGTTCTTTGGTGAAATGAGACCTTTACTAGTTAATATCAAACTTTGTCTCTGTTTGTGGGTATTTTACTTTCCCTTTCACTTCTGTGTTGGATTATTTGCTGTTCCCACCACTTAAACTCTGTGCTTGAACAAATTTTTTGTCCTTTGCTTACTCCTAAAATGGGGAAACTTCCTTTGGGGACCAGTACTTGAGCTGTGTGGTTGAGCTAAGTTGCTACTTTGCTGCTGGTTCCCTAGGGAAGGCTTTTTGTGCAATTCAGGTTTTAATGATTGACTTTATAGGTACTTCTGGGTCTGGTGAAATCCAGTGTACCTGGGTTATGTAGAAACAGTGGTCTAAGCCTGAGTCTTTTCATCAAAGTGCACCCCATGCAATTCTATATTCCTGACCAGTCTCCTCTGAGTGGTCCTATGCTGACTGAGGAGATCAGTTGTCCTTGCTGTGCCCCAGTGTTCCCCCAGTGGGCCCGTCTCCCCCACAGCTGGTGTACCAAACACTTCCCATGGGACGGGTTGTGCTCCGGTCCCTTGCGATGACTCACTGTCCTCTGAGCAGCTCCTATTTTTCAGTTGTTCTGGCTCCTCATTCCTATGTGAGTCCATTGGAACCCTATTAGTGGTATTGCTGGCCTGGGGGCCACCAAGGCCCTCTTCTCCCCTGCCACCTCCAAGCAACTTCATCTGAAAGGCACATCTGTGACTTTTGCCAGCTCCTGCTCCTTGCGCTCAGCAACTCCAGCCTGGAAGCAGCCGAGATTCAAAACAGTTGGAGTGTTTTTTTCTTTCTCTCATCATGGCTTCTCCCACCTTCGTGCACTCCATAGGTCTCTCCTCTTCACCTGAGCTCTAGTGGCCCCGGCTTGGCTGTTGCTGTTTTTTTATAGTTGTAGATTGGTTGATTTGTGGGAATAATTTTTTATGCTATTAAATTTTTTTTTTAAGTTTTGTTGGCTGGCCAGTATGGGGATCCAAACCCCTGACCTTGGTGTTATCAGCACCAAACTCTAACCGAGTGAGCTAACTGGCCAGCCCCTATTGAATCTTAAAATGGTAGAGTATCTAAATGTTTTATTTTCTATGGAAAACAGAGACCCAACTCTCCCTCTTTCCCCCTCTTCATTCTCTCACGCTTATTCAAATGTTCATGCTCCCTTTTCTTTTTTTCCTCTTTTTTTTTATTTTTACATTTCCAAACTCACTTTATGTTTTATTTCTAACATTTAGTATGTAACAAACATTATATAATTACACCATGCCCTTTCTCCTAGGCTGATTTTATACTGAAATTAATAGCCTGGGGTTCAGCCAACCCCCGAATAGAAGACAGCTTTGGCTAAAGTTGCTAATGTACTTGAAAATATTTAAGAACTGATATAATTAAAGAGAAAGTATTCACCCACGAAAGGTTGGTAGCTCCTTAGAAGTCTAAAGTTAACATTAATTAAAGTGAACAACAATGAAACCTGCACATATGTATACATACACACCCCTGTACTCTTTTTTAAAAAAATAATTTTTAACTGTACATGTTTGTGGGGTACACTTTATCGTTTCAATACATGCATATGTTGTATAATGATCCAATCAGAATAGTTAGCCTATCTGTCACCTAAACATTTATCATTTCTTTGGAGTTACAACATTCAAAACCCGCTTTTCTGGCTGTCTTGAAATATACAATACAATATTATTAGCTACTGTCACCCTAGGGCACCAGGATTTTTTCTTCCTATCTACTTGTAACTTTTTGACTTTGTCCCGGTCTACTCATCTTTCCCTTATCCCACCTCTCTCCTCCCTTCTCTGGTTCTGGTAACCACTATTGGACTTTCTATTTCTCTCTTTTTTGCCTACTTTTTATTTTTCTTAATTGACCCATCATAACTGTATACATTTATGGAGTACAATATGATATTTGGGTGCATGCATACTGTGTGCAATGGTCATATCAGGTGCTTAGTATGTCCATCACCTCAAACATTTGTCACTTCTTTCTGTTAGGAACATTCAGCATCATCTTGACTAGCTTTTCAAAGATACCCAGTGCTCTGTGGTTAACTGTAGTCTCCCTTATGTTACTATAGAACACTAGACCCCATTCTTCCTATCTGATGTTTTCTACCCACTGGCCACCCTCTCCCCATCCTCCCTTCCCCTTCCCCCCACCAGTCTTTAGTAACCACTATTCTACTCTCTACTTCTATGAGATCAACTTTAAAAAGTTAGGGTTATTCCACATACACACCTTGCATTTTTTTAAACATTTGTTAGCATTTAATGAACCTCCCTCCACGTGACACCTTGCATTCTTAACTTAAAGGTGTAAAACTTACGTTTCTGCTTTGTGGGTAGCATTGCAAATGTAACAATAATGCCAAAAAAATGTACAGGAAAAGAAAATGGCCATGATCATAAAACCAATTATGTTAGTGAGTGGATCTCTCATAGAATTGTCCCTTTTTGTCTCCATTGATTCAAGGTTCTTACCTCCTGCAAAGAGATTGTATCATTAGTGAAGGAGTTAACTATTTTCTTCCATTTTGATAGTGGTATGCTACTATAGGTCAAAATCAAATGCCTTCATCATTGGTTTTTATAAGACTGATAAGTGTTCCAGTTTCATTTTCTTTCCTCTATCACGTCCCCAGCCACAGTCTAGAAGTCAAATACTGGAGGCATCTCTGGCTAATGTGTACCAGTACCTGGGTTACTCCTGTATCATGGCTTGCCAACCACATTACCTAGGTTTTTGAGTGTGTGCCTGTGTGTATATTGCACATGTGTGAATACACTTGAGTGTTAATGCGTGCATGAATTTATATGATGGGAAAGGGGATGTGACAGGAAAAAACCCTGTTGAAAACCGACTATATATTAAGTCCCATGCCAGATTCACTCACATGTTATTATTTAATTTGGTTGGTAGGGGGGTTGGTGGATTGGGTGGGGAAGGTGGGTGAAGGAGGACCATAATTCTGTGCTACACTTCTCAGTGTGTAACGGAGACAAAAATATGATTACTCAAAGCAACATGAATGCAATGAGAAACCTGAAGGGACTGCACCTCAGCAACTCCTGTGTTAGGAGAAAACTGAGTTGAGCCATGACTCAAAGTTAGCTTCTGTCTTTTATTGTAAAGACAAGGAAGTCTCACAAGAAAAATCAATTGATTTAATCATTCCAAAAGGACACAAATACATGGGCAGTGTGACAAAAGTTACCTATGGATAAGTATAGCTTAAAAAATGGAAACTAGCAACATCAGTAAAATTAACAACGTGACATTCCAAAGTACTATTTATGAAAATCTAAGTTGGTCAAACTGTGATCATTATCTAAAATATAACCTCTCCTCAAATGTTTTAAGTAAAACTTACATTCTTATGATTAAACCTAAGTGTAATTGTCTCTAAAGTTTCCACCAACAGACAGCTTGCTCTTAGAAAACACTTTTTCACATTTTTCCCTTCAGCAATCCTTTAAAATCTCTTAGGATCGGCATGACAACCACCCATTATCTCTAAAATCACTAAAGTATACAATCCCATACCTAAGTAGTGATTAGAGTTGATTAGATGGGCTTTTGCCATGCTACCTGTGGGCTTTCGTCCCTGGCTGGAGACTGTTGCCTTATACATGCATTACCTAAAAACCCTATTCTAAAAATCAAATGAGAATCAAGATTTCTAACCCTCTACAATTATGTACTTTTTATGCTTGTATGTGCTTGAACTTTTCACACAAAAATAAAAATATAAGCTATTGTCCAAGAAATTATTGAAGATGTGCTAATGGTAACACCAAAGTAATAGAAGATTTCTTACACACAGCTTGCTTTTCTAATTAAACCCTTGAATGCATAATAGATGATAATTTATAAGTTTTTAAGGATAGGCACATACCTGTAGTAGGAGTTATATCACTTTTGTTTGTATTTAAACAATTATTTGCCCAAATGGGCAAAAGTAGAACATAAAAACAAAGTTTCATGTCCCTGGTTCTGTCCAAATGTTTCTTCTACTAAGGTAACTACTCTCTTTTATAAAGTTCAGGCTATTCTAGGGGTTTATGACATCATTGTCACTTTGTGTCATAGTCTGACAGCATAATCTTACCATGGCAAACATAAGTTTCTGTATATAAATTTTATCAAATTTTATCATGTGTTTCTACTTCACATCAAATACTCTATCAAATTCAAAACAAGGAAATTTAGGCATTATTTAGCATATATGAAAATATTTAGAGAAAGTAGGAAAAATGGGATAGCTCTAGAAATTGAGGAACTATTTCTCCTTATTAAATGGTAAGAAGGCACTCTCCAGCCTGTCATGGACTGAATGTTTGTGCTCCTCCAAAATTCATGTGTAGAAATCTAATCCCCAATGTGATGGTATTTAAAGAAATTTAGGCATTATTAAGCACAGATGAAAATATTTAGAGAAGGCAGGAAAAAATGGGATAGCTCTAGAAATTGAGGAACTATTTCTCCTTATTAAATGGTAAGAAGGCACTCTCCAGCCTGTCATGGACTGAATGTTTGTGCTCCCCCAAAATTCATGTATTGAAATCTAATCCCCAATGTGATGGTATTTGGAGGTGGGGCCTTTAACATGTAATTAAGTCATGAGGGTGGAACCTTCAAAAATGGGATTAGTTTACTTACAGGAAGAGGCCAAAGAGCTATCACTTTTCTTCTAACATGTGAGGGTACAAGGAGAAGTCAGCAGACTGCAACCTGAAGAGGCTTCTTACCAGAACCCAACCATGTTGGTACCCTGACCTTGGACTTCCAGCCTCCATAACTGTAAGGAATAAATTTCTATTGTTTATAAGTCACTTAGTCTACGATAATTTGTTATAGCAGCTTGAACTAGGACAGAAATTCGTACCTAGAGGCAGGGTTCTGCTGTGTAACAAGTAACTAAAAATGTGGAAACAGCCTCATAACTGAGTAATGGATAGAGGCTGGAAGAGTTTTGAAGTGCATTCTAGTAGTAGCTGATTGTCATGGATGAATTTTTAAAGGTGATTTTGGTGAAAGCTTGAAAAGAAAAGAGGAGAGCTGTAGAAAAACTTCTTAGAGAATACATAAATAATCATGTATAGAATGTCGGTAGAAATATGGACAGTAAAGGCCATTCTGATGAGGTCTCAGGCAGAAATGAGGAACGTGTTATTGGACAATGGAGAAAAGGCAATCCTTGTTAGAAAGTGGCAAAAAATACTTGGCTGAATTGTCTTAGTGTTCTATTGTTCTGTGGAAGGTAGAAATTGCAAGAAATAAAATTGGATTTTTAGCTAAGGAGATTTCTAAGCAAAGTGTTTGAAAGAATGTCTTGGTTCCTTCTGACCACTTATAGTAAAATGTAAGAAGAGAGAAATGAGTTGAAGACAGAATTATTAAGCAAAAAGGAACTAGAATGTAAAGTTTTGGAAAATTCTCAGCCTATTTTCCAAAAAACAATGAGAAAGCATTTTCAGAAGAGAACACTAAGGATGTGCATAAGTAACCCTTGATTAGGAGATTTGTATGGGTATGAACCAAAAAATTTAATCAGTTACCCCAGCAGGAAAACTGCCAGTCTGAACCAAACGAGAAAAAGATGAAAAGGAATGAAGAAAAGTTGGACATCTTTGATTTTACAGGACAGGATGATAGAGCTATTTGATTGTGAACATACTGTATTCTTACAGGCAAGAAATAAATGACCCAGAAGGTGATTCAGAGATCATCACTTCTATTTCCTTGGTTTCAAAAGGAGGCCATCACCCTGCTTTCAACATGCCATAAGACCTCCACCCAAAGCTGCGGAGGTGGAGCTGCCCAATGATGTAGGGGATTGACTCCCACCTGGAAGAACCCTGGGAGCAGGACTCCCTGCCCAGCAATGTTTCAGGAAAAGGTGGAAACAGAGGCCAGATCTCAATGGGTTGAAGAGTAATAGAGAGCTGAGAAAGTGAAGTCAGCTTGTGTAGACAATTCTTTCAAGTTTGGCTTGCAAAGAGTGGCAAGATAGGGTGGTTGCTAGAGGGGGAAGGGATACTGTCTGAGTTTGTTTGGGCTGCTATAACAAAGTACCATAGACTGGGTGTCTTATAATCAACAAACATTTATTTCTCACACTTTTGCAGTCTGGGAAATATCAGATCAAGGTGGTTAGAGATTTGATGTGTGGCAAGGGGCTACCTTCTTGGTTTATAGACAGTGATTTCTTGGTATATCCTTAAATGGTGGGAACAACTAACTAGCTCATTGTGGTCCATTTTATAAGGGCACTAATACCATTACCTTGGGGGTTAGGATTTCAACATATGAATTTTGGGAGGACACAAACATATGGTCCACTCCAGGTACCTGTGGAGTATACATTGAAAGATGGAAAAGACCAGCTTAATTAAAAGCTTGTGGGAAAGAACTAGTATTGGAGGAGATGTTGAAGCCACAGGAAAGAGGAAGGATACATGATGCAGCCAGGCTCCTTGGAGGGCAGGAAAAAATGCAATAGAACATCAGATCAAAAGGGGGAGTCTGGTTCAGATCCAATCAAGATAAGGGTAGGAGTGGGGATGAGGGGGCTTGGGGATCAATTTGGAAAATTTCTGTCTTATGGCTTCTATTCTCCTAAGGATTTAAGAGTGAAAGGCATTCCTTATAAGGAGGAAGGGCAAAGGTTTGGGCACAATGAGGAAGGTTTGAAATAGATGCTGATCAACAAAACAGAATAGACAACCCAAGAAAAGACCTATACATATTGCTACACGAAGTGGTTGGCATTAAAACTAAGTGGGAAAATTGGCTTGCCTTATGTTAAAAACAAAATTTCCTTACCTCACCATAGCCAAAATAAAGATACTTAACTGTATGCACATTTAAAATATATTTTATAAATATTAGAATAAAATTTAAGTGATATTGGGCTGGCCCGGTGGTGCGCTGGAGAGTGCACCGCTTGGGAGTGCGGCGGTGCTCCCGCCGAGGGTTCGGATCCCATGTGGAGACCGGTTCCCACTCACTGGCTGAGCGCGGTGCGGGCGTGACACCAAGGGTTGCGATCCCGTTGCCGGTCCCCGGTACGGGCACGACACCGAGGGTTGCGATCCCGTTACCGGTCAGTAAAAAAAGACAAAAAGGAAAAAAAAAAAAATTTAAGTGATATCTTTGTAACCTTGTGGAGTTGACTATATCAAAATTTTAGCTTTTGTATAAGAAAACCATAAAGAGAGTTAAAACACAAGTCAGACTTGGAGAAGCTATTTGTGACATTCATTTTAAAAAGTATTTAGCTCTGCCAATTGTTTCTTTTGTTGTGCAGAAGATTTTTAGTTTGATATAATCTGATTTGTTTATTTATCCTTTGGTTGCCTGTGTTTTGGGGGTCATATTCATAAAGGCTGTGCCCAACCCTACTTCCTGAAGTGTTTCCCCTATGTTTTCTTTAAAGAGTTTTATTGCTTCAGGACATGCATTTAATTCTTTAATCCATTTTCACTTGGCTTTGGTATATGGAGAGAGGTATGGATCTAGTTTCATTCTACTACATATGAATGTCCAATTTTTTCAGCACCACTTACTGAAGAGGCAGTCTCAACCCCAGTGTGTAGTGTTGGTGCCTTTGTCAAAGATCAGATGGTTATAGGTGTATGGGTTGATTTCTGGATTCTCTATTCTGTTTCATTGGTCTGTGTGTCTATTTTTATGCCAGTACCATGCTGTTTTGGTTACTATAGCTTTGGAGAATAATTTAAAGTCAGGTAGTGTTATGCCTCTGGCTTTATTTTTTATTTTATTTTATTTTATCTTTTGCTCAGGATTGCTTTGGCTATCTGGTCTTTTATTATTCCATATGTATGTTAGAATTGTTTTTTTCCATTTCTGAGAAGAGTGTCATTGGAATTTTATGGGGATTGCATTGAATCTGTAGATCACTTTGGGTAGTACGGACATTTTCACAATGTTAATATAGAAATTTCTCAAAAGAAGATATATGAATGGCCAAGAGACACATGAAAAGATCCTCAACATCACTCAGCATTGGGGAAATGCAAATCAAAAGCACTTTGAGATACCATCTCTCCCCAGTTAGGATGGCTAATATCCAAAAGACTGGGAATGGTAAATGCTGGTGAGGATGTGGAGAAAAGAGTACCCTCCTACACTGTTGGTGGGACTGCAAAGTGGTGCAGGTTTTATGGAAAATGGTATGGAGGTTCTTCAAACAATTACAGATAACTCTACTATATGACCTGGCTATTCCAATGCTGGTTATATACTCAAAGGAATGGAAATTATCATGTCAAAGGGATACCTGTACTCCCATGTTTATTGCAGCACTATTTACAATAGCCAAGAGTTGGGACTAGCCTAAATTTCCATCATCAGATGAATAGATAAGGAAAATGTCATATATCTACACAATGGAATACTACTCTGCCATAAAAAATAAAAAACGAAATACCACCATTTGCAGCAACACGGATGGTTTAAAGAAAATTATACTAAGTGAAATTAGCCAGGCACAGACATAGAAATACTTTATGTTCTTACTTATTTGTGGGTACTAGTAAAAATAAATAAATAAATATACAAAGAAATATATGGGGGGAGGCAAAAGACACACAACACAACAATTCCTTGAATTTGTTAAGACAAGTGAACAGATATGATGTTGATGGGGGGCAGCAAGAGGAGTGGGGAAAAGGAGGAACTGGTAAAGGGACACAAAAATCAACTTCATTGTATATTGATAAATTAAAATAAAAAATAATAAATATAAAATAAAAAGTATTTTACGTCTGGAATATAAAGAAAATCAAATTCATGAGACATCTTTCAGAAGAGGGAATTGGAATGGCCAAAAAACTAAAGTGTAAAAAGAAAAAAAAAGATAATATATTCAACCTTATTAGCAATCTGAAGTAAAACAAAACTAAACAGAACAAATCAATCACCTATCAGATTTGGAAAACAGAAACAAAAACCAGCAAGT